ATGAGCCCCCTTATCCCCCTTTCATCATCGTACTAATTGCTAGGAACCTATCAGGACGCATTGCAGCGTCTAAAAACTTGAAAAATCACACCTACGCAAAAATGGGGGCCCCACAGCGTCCCTTTCTGTATTTAAACATATTTCAACGACCTGCCCCAAAAATGGCCAGAGGTAGGCTCTTTGTTGGTTACGGTCTCCCTTTAAGGAAGTGCGTTTTCCCTATGTACGGTGATCCCTCCTCGTAAGGAATTTTAGCACAACCCACAACCCGACACGGTAATCCCTTTACCCTAAACCCTATATATCCCCTGAGTTCACATTCATCTGGGCAAAGCACCCCTGGAAATCCAGAGGCAGATTCAAGAACCCGTCGTAGTTCTCCACCTGGTTGTACGGGGGCTTAAATAGGCAAAAGATTGGTGCAAAGCGTAAAACAACGCCAAAAATCATTTGCCCACATACTTTCAGGTTTTCAAGTTCTAGGGTCTAGGATTTCGGGCTTTAGGCGGGTTTAGGTGTTGACTCCAAGGTGCGCCAGAACCCTTTCCCTGAGGGTCCAAGTACCCAATAATTATATACTTACCCAAAACCTGTACTAAAATTACTATTACCCCAAACCCAAGTACCTAATTATTGGGTACTTGGACCCTCTGGGTTTAATTGGGGGGCGCATCTCTTGCGCAAAGGGCTGATTTTCTCGGTAGCTCACGCGAACTACAGTCACTACTTGCTGCATGATCTACTCCACGTGGGATCCTTGATAGGGACTACATTAGGGAGTGTACTAAAAACTAAAAACCATAAGAGGGACCCCCTGTCGACTGTGAAGGGTCGCTTAAAAAGGCAAATATTGTCAGCACCTCACGAGTTTGTGTTGATGAAACGGGCCCCTTTAGAGGGGTGAACGAGTTGGTCTAAGGGTGTTTATGGGGGGAGAAAAGGGAGTACGAGTGAATTAAGAACCCTAAGGGTCCAAGGACTCAAATCCTAGGGCTTTGGGGCCCAAATACATAGCATTGAATAGTATTTGGGCCCTAAAACTCTACTATTTGGGTCCTTGGATCCTGGGGGAATATACAGGATGCACGGACAGGCTTTAAGGTTTCCAAAAGTTGAAAACTCCTGCTTGGCATGGTGGGGGAATACATGAGGGCTTCCCATTTATGGCTTAGGGTTTAGGGTTTAGGGCTTACCCTAAGGCTGCTGAACCCTCATAATGGGAGCCTAAACCATCGCCCACAAAGCACAAACCTTACCCCACAGCACTGGGAGCCTTAGGGTAGGGTGTAGGGCATCCCCCCAACATGCATGCTAGGGACTACAGTCTACAGGGTGTAGTGTTTGGCTCTTCAGGGCTCCGCGGTACTGTGTGCCCTACGCGGCCCGGGTGGGCAGGATTTTCTTGCGTAAGCCAGGACCTATACAAGTATATAGCATAATAGCGTTTCTGGCAGCTGGGGCGGGCTTTGGGCCACTAATTCGCCTGCACTTGAGCTTCAGGTACAGCTGTGCCCAACGCCCAACACGCCTAGTGACGGCCGACAGAGCTACAGCAACTATAACTCATCCTGGACGCCGCCCAGGAAAGCGCCAACATGCAAATCTATCGTTGCTCAAACTCACACTGGCCCGCATCGGATAGGCACTGGATTTCTGGCCGGGCAATTTGGACACCCAATACATACACTCACCACTATTCCTAAGCCGGAATGAACACGCTACTTCATGTACTACCTAAGGGGCCAAGGACTCAAATAATAGGGAATTAGGGCCCAAATACTATAGTACTACTGGTAGTTAGGCCCTAAAGCCCTATTATTTGGGTCCTTGGACTCCTAGGGCTATAACCACACCTTAAGTCCTTAACGAGGCTCCGACATCTCTTGCCCTATGGTCTGAACTTCCCTTAAGCTCGCCAACCCACATGGTGGTTCTTCAAAATACCTGTCCCTAGAATGGACATAATGCGGGCTCCTATGTTGGTGAGGATCCTGATGGGCCAGTGTATTACTATATTGTGTATATAAATTACTAGTACTATATTACAATATTCTTATTACTACATTACTACTACATTACTGTTACTTAGTTTATTCTGCACGGCCCCTTCTTCACGGTACCTTTAGAACATAAGCCCGGGACCCTTCCGCTTGCCCCTTTCCAATATGCCAGGCGCACCGTGAGACGTACAGCCGCGTGCGCATCCTGGCTCAAGCAGGCACAAAGTTTAGGCTTCAGGGGCTCAGAGTCGGGTCTGTAACATGATTATGAGCCCTTGCATACTGCTACTCTACACCCTGAGCTCCCTGTTAAAGGGGTTTAGGGTCTGGAGCTCCTGTCCTGAGGCCTGAAGTCTTCCTACGGCTCCTTCTGGTCTTGCCTGAGGAAGTGCAACCGATAAGATGTCTGCGGCCATAGCAAAGGCAACTTGATCAGAGAATCCCTTCCCCTAAACCTTGAACCCCAGGGTTTAGGGTTTAGGATTTGGGGGTTTAGGGTTTGGGGGTTTTAACCCCAAGCCCTTAACCCTACCCCTGCCCTCTTCACGGTGTCTTGGACTTCCATATCAACCCCTTAAAGGGTCTGCGCAAATGTTCCCCTGTGTTCAGTCTTGCTTCATGCAGACTGAACAGTTACCAACGTTAATCCTTTACGGTGTAAGTCACAAGTAATGCCCCCCAAAGCCCTATTCCGCTTACCCAAAGGCCTGTGCCCCATAGCAGTTGTGTTGGAACTCTGCGGGCCCTAGGCATATACCATATCCCTACATGGGCCCTTTGGGATATTTCGGTTCCTACATTAGGCGGACGCTCACCTGGACCCCAAAGTAGGTAAATTGAGTTTTAAGTTTAGGGCTTAGGGTTAAAAACCCGTAAGACCTGCCAAAAGGCCATTATTCTACACTCTTTTGGTGGTTCCAGTATGGGTTTTCCTCTGAGGCTTCCATTCTCGAATCATGTACCGTCTTGAACCTGGAAATCGCAAGCCCCCAGCTCAAGAGGCTAAACCGCTTACCAGGAGGGCATGAGGCATGTATTTAAAGGCGGAACTCTAAACTCTAAACCCTAAACCTTAAAGATACTAATGGCCACCCTGTTGGAGCACCCAACAGAGATCTTAGGTATAAGATGCTTCAAGAAAGCCTATAGCTCCGCAATACAACGGTTCGAGAGCTCTTGCCTTCATTGATCATATATCCCAAGCAATCTGCCTTCCGTGCCGGTAGAATTGGAGAGGACTCGCTGAAGTGAATCCCTGAGCGAAGTCCTCTCAAAAGGGTCCACAACCCCTTCAGTTTTGTGGCCTTAAAGGCTAAACCCTAAACCGTGACAATAACCCCGTTACATTCCCCGTTTCTCCAAAGCATGATGTACAGCACTCCTGCTTTGCAGGGGTTCCTAGATCCCAATCCTGAGCCACGCGGTTCAGGGTTTAGGGTTCAGAGGCTGAATGACAGTCCGCAAGTCTTACCCCAAACCCTAAGTTGCTAAATACCAGACTCTGATGCCTGGACCTTACTCGCGTGTAGGGGCAAAAACGACTACCAAGATCATTTTGAAGTCTATTTGAGGCACCTCAGAATACCATGATTACGCAAAGGAGGCTGCTAGGACCATGATATTACTGACTGTTTAAGCTTCGACAGTAAGGCAGCTTATCAACAGAGCCCCCATACATTCTGAAAAGGGTGCTCTTCACAAACACCCCCAGACCCTGAACCCTAAGCCCTGAAACCCGAACTCTATCCATAACTCCCCTAAGCCCCAAACCCTAAGACCTAAACCCTGAGCCCTAAACCCAGAGCCCCAAAACCTAATAACCCCATTATAATCCCATTGTAATCGTTTCCAGTATATTTTCCATTATCCCAATACAACCCCAAAATATCCCCTGAGGGTCCAAGTACCCAATAATTATATACTTACCCAAAACCTGTGCTAAAATTACTATTACCCCAAACCCAAGTACCTAATACTTGGACCCTCTGGGATCCCTCAAAACCCGAATGCTTTGGACCCTTAAGGTCCTACTTCGAGACGGTCCGGCCTGGACCTGGTCGGGCCCCGGGATGGTGTCCAAATCTACCGGATCCTGGAGCAGTTCATTATGGCAAAATTAGGTGTATATTACCCACAATAATGGAGAATCAAATGGAAAAGAAAATGAAAAATGAAATGGAAACTTGGTTGATATAGGTGTTTATGGGGATTTGGGTTTTCCCAACATTAGGGGTACCCTTTTGGGGGTCCCTATAATAAGGACTATAGTATATTGGGGTCTATATTGGGGTACCCTAATTTTGGGAAACTACCATTTAGGGTTCTAAGGGTTTAAGGGGAATGGAAAAGGAAATTGATATTACTTTTGTTTGAGTGTTAGGGTTTGGGTTTCTGGGTTGTAAACCCAAAGCCCTAAACGCCCAAACCCTAAACCCGGGTGTGGTGTGATTGTGATGGTGGGGGGTGCGTTGTCAGCTTGAGTTGCTTCTCCTGCTGGCGCTGTGCTGGCTTGCGCGGTTTTGCTCTGTCCCGCTCAGAGGATTTAGGCTTTAGAGTTTATGATACAGTATAAGTAACCGAATCCAATCATGACCATTTTCTATAGCGCTACCTAGGCATACTACAAAACACCAGGCTAATCTTCTATTTAATGGTAATGAGAAGTGACTACAGGCTTTCCCCTATGCAAAGGTTTAGGTGTTCAGTCGAAATTAAGATACTGCTCATGTGTGGGAGCATAGGAATCCTTATACCCTGTGCTATGTTGTGAAAACGGTGGTCACGTTTTGGGCCGCTATTGTAGTACGACCCGAAGCAGGAACCATACTTTTGACAAGCCCATGTGGAGGGTATATTGAGGCATGTAGAAACACATTAAAAAACCCAGCCTGTGTAAGTCAGAGCCCTTTTCTGCCCCAGGTCCCCACTTACCCAAATCATAAAGTCTAGGGCTTAGATGGGCTTAGGGGGCTAAATGCTTACCGATGAAAATGGAGAATGGAACGACAAAGAGAAAAGGAACATGACACGGAAACGGTGCATATATGGGCATTTGCAGGGAGTGCAGAGCCTAAATACTTACAAAAATCAAGCCGAGGTCTATTTGAGGTATCTAAGCTAACCCTTTACCGCAATTATTTAAGAAGACTGGGGCTATAACGTTGCTAATTAAATGCGAAGCCTTCTACAGTACAGCTGGAACCTGCACCCAACCACTCTGAATTCTCCTACCCACGTAGTCTCACAATAATCCTATGGTCCCTCTACAATTCATGCGCATCCATTGCTAACCAAGGGCTCCTATGTAGTTCCTTTTTGGGTCTGTTACGGTTTTTTGGTAAGGGATTATGCTATACTACCCAAAAAGGAACTACATAGGAGGGTCTGGGTAAGTCGCATGAACCTTCAAGTACCCCTTCCCAATCCTCGCGCGTCTCGTCGAGGAGCAGCTGTTGCCCCTCGCGCCGCGGCGTCTTCCCAAGAAGCACCTGCATATGGCGCGCTTCAGGGTTTACCCAAGGGCTCCAATGTAGTTCCTTTTTGGGTTTGTTATGGTTTTTGGGTAAAGGATTATAATATGCTAGAAGCACCTGCATATGAGCTATTGTCTAAAC